GGTATCATTGGTATACACTCTTATGAAGATTTTACATGAAAAACAATGCGGTTATTACATTCACCCTTATTATCAAGTCCCCCCCATAACCCATTGCAGTCACTGCCCATCAGTGTAGTAAGATGTCACAGAGTCCCTATCTGTCTTCTCTGAGCTACACTGTCTTCCCCATGACCCCACACACACCATGTGCACCAATCATAATACCCCACAACCCCCTTCTCCCTCCCTCCCCACCCATCCTCCCCTACCCTTCCCCTTTGGTAACCACTAGTCCTTCTTGGAGTCTGTGAGTCTGCTGCTGTTTTGTTCCTTCAGTTTTGCTTTGCTGTTATACTCCACAAATGAGGGAAATCATTTGGTATTTGTCTTTCTCTGCCTGACTTATTTCACTGAGCATAATACCCTCTAGCTCCATCCATGTTGTTGTAAATGGTAGGGTTTGTTTCTTTCTTATGGCTGATTAGTATTCCATTGTGTATATGTACCGCATCTTCTTTATCCATTCATCTACTGATGGACATTTAGGTTGCTTCCGTATCTTGGCTATTGTAAATAGTGCTGCAGTAAACATAGAGGTGCATCTGTCTTTCTGAATCTGAGAACTTGTTTTCTCTAGGTAAATTCCTAGGAGTGGAATTCCCGGGTCAAATGGCATTTCAAGCCTGTTTTATGTTGATACTGATATTTTCTAAGAGTGTCGTAGTGAAAATGTGAGAGTGCTTACAACTCTCATGGGAATAGTCTTATGGGAATCAAGGCTTTGGAGGTGAGCTACGAAAAATAGTGGGACTCAGCATTCCCATTGCACATCTTTGCCCAATAAATTTAATTTATAGCCACATGAAAGCACAAGACATCGTTGATATCTTGGGTTTGCAGAGCTTTGAGAGAAGACTACAAGATATGAATAAAATATCTAATACAAATAATCTAAAATAAAAATACATAGGCCTTTCCTACTTAAATTTCATTTCTTCCATTTTAGTGTTCCAGTATATTGTAACACTATCATCTATGATTTATCACTAGAGAAACTCCACTGCCTCTTGGTGCCATAAATGGATCACCTGGGAAGATCAGGAGACGTGAGGTCACTGGTGAAGAGCATAGGCTTTGACCTAAGACACGTCTGAAGAAGTCCCAGATTATTAGCAGCTATGAGTATGTGCAGGGACTAAATTTACCATGTCACAAGTTTCTTCTTCTGTAAATACACAGATTAAAATACTTCCTATTTATTAGGGTTATTCTGAGGATTAAGTGAGGCAATGCATAAAGAGCAAAAAATCTGGCACTTAGAAATGTTGACTTAAATGTTGGCCAATATCAATAATGATGATTCTTGCTTGCTTGCTTTGCATTATTAGTTCTTTATATTGAATTTGTCTTAACCAACAAGTGTACTTTCCCTCATAAATATTTAATCTTTAACCATTTCATTTCTTCTTCAGTAGTTACTATAATTTTCCTTGAAACACATTCTCAAACTCTCTCTCTAATCTTGCTCTAAATATCCTTTTTCATGTTCCTTTTAAAACCTTACCAACTCCACATACTCAGGTAGGAAAACAGAATATTTTGCCCTTTAATGTACTTTGCTGAGTGTTTCCTTATCCCACATAAGAAAATGTATTCCTTCTTAAAAGTTATTTTATTCCCTACTCAAAATAATACTAAAGTATTATACTATGATTATGCAAGATGGTGTCATTAGAGGAAACTGGATGAAGAGTACATTGGCCTTTCCCATACTTTTTTTTGCAACTTCTTATAAATCTCTAGTTAATGTAAAATTAAAAATTTTTAAATGATCAAAGAAAAACATTTCTGTAACTGTTCTTTTGACCCTTTGCTTATTCTCTGGAATCTGAGATAAACCCATCCCAATTTTTAAAACTGCACATTCTTGGGATTTCCTGAGCCCCAACCTACTTAACTGAACTAAAGGAACACCATCATCATTGGTGATTTTCTGCCATATTCCTGATCAATCTCCCAGCCAAAAACCAAACAAAATTTTTAAAAACTCAAAAACCAAGAACTGAGAGTCACTAAACTATAAATGAGTCATGTTTTGTCTTCTCATTCTTCCCAACTCCTTGCTAAGCTATATTAGCTACATCAACAAACAAACCACACTAAAAATTAAATATCAAGCACTCACATGGAGTCATCCATTTACTCACAATTTTGACTGGCATTTTTGGTTTTAAGTGACATTTTAAAAAACTGTTTATTATGGAAGTAATGTTCCCATATTCCCTGACAGCAAACATGCATACAAAAATGAACAGAACACTAAAATTCAAATCATATATGTAGCATTAACCAAAAAATAAGGGAAATAATCTGGAATATGGAAATAAGCAATAAGCACAAATACTAAACTTTTAAGTCCACAAATTAGCCTTGATATGATTTAAGAGGGCATCACATCCATTTTTTTAAAAAAAGTGCTTTGAAAAAGAAATAATGGGGCTCACAAAAAATAAAAGCACAAGTTTTAAAAATGGAAAGAGTAGACTACATAGCAGAATGGACACAGCTAAAATATGATTTAGTGAGCTGAAAGAGGTTTTTCTTGGGACTCATACACACACACACACATACACACACACACAAGACTATAGGTACGAAAAAAGAGTTAGAAGTCATGGATAATAGAAGTTCTAATATTTACATAACAGAAGGACTAGAAAAGAGTGGAGAAGAGGAAACAACCAGGCATATAAAAGAGAGAATGTTCACAGCAATGAAAATACTACTAATGATAGCTAATGCTTTTATATAGTACTGACAATATACCAGACACTGTTCTCAGCATTATATACAGCCTAGACAGTGTGTATACATACACACACACACACACACACACACACTTTATACATGCACATACATCCGTATATGGTTTAATTCATTATAATAAATCGATTAGGTATTATTATCCCTATTTTGCAGATGAGGAAACTGAAAGTGAAAGCCTTACAGAACTCAGCCAAGCCCACACAGTGGATGAACAGATAAGCAGGGAGCAAAACCCAAGTCATCTTGTTTTAGATACAGACTCTTAACCACTAAACCCTCAAGGTCTTCTGACTAAAAGAGCCTCTCATTAATGTCACAAGCAACATTAATGAAAAAAACACTCACCCTCTACCCTAAGATATAGCCTCATAAACTTTCTGAATTTAAATGATAGAAATTTGTAAAAGCTTTCAGTGGAGATAGGAAAGAAAGATTTCCCTCAAACAAAAAATACCTTTCCATCAGACTTCTGACTGACAACACAGTGTAAGAAGATAATGAAACAAGAGCTTCAAAGTTCTGAAGAATATATGAAATATCTGGAAAAAGTTTATGTAATATAAATGATGCTTATTTACAAATGGCGAGGTTTGGGTTATTTCTGTTGTTTTTTTATTTTCTTTGCACTTTTCTGTTTTGATTTAATTTCTTATAATGAACACCAATTTTTGTTGAAAAATTTGTTGAAAACAATAAAATTGTTGCCCTAAAAAGAAGTCATTCACATGGATTAAATTTCTTAAGAATGAGAAATGAAACTATAAATGCACTAGAAAAATACAGGATAATTTTTTCTCATTGGAAGGGATGTGGGTAAGGAAAATCATCCAAAGAAAGATTTTTTAAAGATAGCAATCATAAAGGGAAAGACCAATAAATTTCATTGCATAAAAAATGTTAAATTTTGACAGGATGTGAGTAAAAAATACATGACAGACTAGAAGAAAATATTTGCTACATATATGTCAGAGCCTTAATATCTATAATATAAACAGTTTCTATAAATCAACAGAAAAATACTTTTCAAAAGAAAAAACACAAAATACAAACAGGCAATTATTCCCAGAAGAAGAAATACCAATAGTCAATACCCACTGAGCATTTACTGCATTCAGAAAAAATGCATATTAAGTAAAAAAGTAATGTCTCCTTTTTCACCCACCAAACTGACAAAAACTGAAAAGATTAATAGTACATAATGTTGTTTTCAGTATTGAGAAACAGGCAGTCTTACTCATTACTGAAGAGGAAGTAAATGATGCATTTTGGAAGGGCAGTTTCACAGTACCTGACAAAATTAAAATGTTTCTTGACATCAATTGTATGGGAATACTTACTTATGAACCAAAACAAGTAATGCAGCATTGTTTGAAAGTGACGCATAAGTGCTATCCACTCAGACAGGACCTCCTTAGATGGCAAGTGCTTAAACCCAGGATGTCTGGATATTTCATTCTTAATTGCTAGTTACTTAGGAGAGTAAGAAGGCAATATGCGACTCCTCCTTTCACAGAGATTGAGTCATTCTCTGTAATGAACAATCCTTGGAGAAACAGCTAATAGCTTACTGATGGGCTTCATCAGCTGGAGACCAATCCCCGGAAGCTCCCACAGCAGCTGCCAATGTTGCTGGAATCGATACTAAAGGAAGAATTTGCCATATGCTTTCCCAAATCTGACTGGATATAATGTAATGTAATATAATGTAATGTAATATAATTAATATAATACAATACAATCAATATCAGGCATTCCTGTACATTTCAACAATACTGTTATTTTCATGCACATATATGCAGTACATATCGGTCATTTGTTTGTATTTGTTAATAAAACTGACATTGATTCCATTCATCAATATGCCAATAAATGAGTTGGGACTGAAGCCAATAAACTGAGAAGCAGGAATAAGTAAGCAGATTATTATATTGCTCTTTGAGCAAAAGAGTGGATTCTTGTGTTATTTCAACCATCTCTACAGGCAAGAAACAGAATCCCAGAGGAAGCATGAGAAAGTGTTTGGATTCCCATAATTCTGCCTATTTTATTTACAATTTCCTCCTTCATCCTTCCTGCCTGTCCAGATGGTTTTCTTCATTTCCCAAACTGATTTATGTTCACTACTGTTAAGATGTTAAATACTTCAAAAGCCTTCCTCTATAGCTCCTCACAAACCAAAGTCATAAACTTACCTTTGCCGAATTATGCTGGGGTTAGCTGTCACTAAATGACTTTTGGATCCAACATCTTTAGTGTATTCCCTTGACAAAGGAGGAAGGTTGCATCTAGAGAAACGAGAACAAACATTTTAGAATGATCACATACTTTTAAATCAAGTCCGTTATCATGACAGTAACAGAAATTTTACTAACTAGCTCAATTCACAAATAACTTTCATCATCTCTCCCTTTTAATACATATCACATGACTAACAGCATTTTCAAAACACTGTCATAAAACCTAGTCCTGTTTTAGAAGGAAGAAAATGTCAGCTAGAGGTAAATGATCTATGAAAGGAGAGGGATAACTCAAATGAGTTTATTCCATTTAAAATACTTTGAGGTGGTAGGATAAGAAGTGTAAGATTTGAATTAGCCTTAGGAGAGGTTGGTACACTAGAAGATACAGGACCTTCAGTGTTCTTTGTAGAACCACACCACAAACTTCAAGACACCAGGAAGATTATATTTGCTTACTTTTCTTTCTTTTTGTAAATTCAAAATTATAATAGTACGTTCAGGGCCTCCTAAAAAATTCATGTCTAAATGTACATGTCCAATGTAGTACAGGTTGACTACTGTGAAGACATAATGATGTGACATCTGAAGAAAAGCAAAGATTCTCTAACCATCCCAGTTCAGCCAAAGGAGAGCCCAGGTGATGTTTTCTTGGTGACAGATAGCTACCCTTCTCTCTTACACACGCACGCGCACACACGCATACACACACACACACACACACACACACACACCACCCCAGCCCTGACTGCTTTCCTTGGCCACAATGCCTTATGAATGTTTACAATGGAAAACATGGCAACTGAAAATCTAAATCCCATGGCCTTCTGCTAGTGGGACATGAGGCAAGTTAATTAATCTGTCTGGCCTCCGTCTCCCCATACACAAAATGAGGATGACCACTTTTCCTGTTTAGAAAGGTTGTTGTAAGGATTAAAGTAAGAAATGTATAAAGAGTCCCTATGCTGATACGTCACATACAGTAAAAGCTCAAAAATACATCATGTATCAGGTATATCATATAAATATAATTAAATATGTATTATTTATGAAAACCCCAAATGAGTCTATAGTTTCCACTAGGTGTTCTTTTATTACTGTGCTTTAATTTCTCTTCTCCACCCGCAACTCTAACTTGACTCTTACCACAGCAAGGCATTTCTAACTTTTTACTTAACAAACCAAAGCATCATTTATTTGTAGGTAAAGAAATCTTACACATATTAAGGTCTTTGCCATTCCCTAACTATTAAATTTTCCCTACATATTTCTCCCAAAACATGGAATTGTCTGCACTCACTCAGCTGATGAGCTCAAGTTCCTTGATGTTGTCTTGTATTGACCTTGTGACTCCTACCACATCGGGGCATCCTAGACAAGTTTCAGTTTATTTGGCATCTTCCTTTCATCTGTGCTTTTGTCATGAGATACTGGTTCTTCCGAGAGCTACCCATAGCTTAATTAGTCAGACAGTTGATGACTTCTGCTGAGTACCCATTGAAAACAAACATAATGGCCATTGTGGGGAGCCTGGGGACAGCCAAGTTTCAGAGCGTGCTCTTGACGCATCTGAAGTCCAATGGTCTCGCCACATACCACGTGGATTCTGAGGACCTTTGTGAGGGAGTGAGTGTTGGCACTATCAACCAGGCTCACGAGGCAATGGAGCTGACCAGTCTTGTGACTTAACTCATTTTTGCAAAGGCAACTTCCAGAATAAAACACAGGCTAAAATTTGGGCATTTATCTCTTAAAGAAGCTTTGACCTGATGGTCCTTAATAACATTTGAAAACTGTTGTATTATACTATATAATATATAACAACAACAGTATATCAAAACTGTAATTTTTCTAGAGACTGCAATCAACCTGTTTTGTCATTATTTAATGAAACGAATTAGTTTTCATGAATAAACACTTTGTTCTTCTATGTACGCTTGCAGGTTGAGCCACAGCTCCTATGTCTGGGGCCCTTCACAACTCCCGCCACAGAGTAAAAGCTAAAGAGACAGTTCTGGATACTGACTGCCAAACACTATAACACAGGGAAATATGTGAGATAATTAAGATAATATTTTATAAATGGATTTCTGGAAAATAATCACCTATTTTCATGTAAATATCTGCCTTAATGTCTTCTGGGAAAGCTTTTTCTTCAAGTGCAAATGTCTGTGACACCTCCCTGTAGCTCTTTTCTCAGAAAAAGCACACTATAATTTTACCTCCTCAATTCCTAAATTGATAATTACAAGATTTACATAAAAGGCACATTAATACAGTCAAATCGTTTCAATATGGCATACTTGTGAAAAAGTGTTTCAAACTTTGCATTGTTGCTTGTCGGCACAATTAACAGATATTAATGGCTAAAGTGTCCTAGTAACTGTGCTCATGACCTTAAAAAATATTAAAAAATTGATGAGAAATGAATATTCTTTGAATTGAGGAGTAGAGATGAGTGGGAAAGGGCTTGGTGGAGAGCAAACATTAATAGAACATCGTAAGATAACTTTTTAAATTTTATGTGTACTTAAGTATGCAAAACACAAAGTACCAAAATTTTATAGCCTTCAGTTGTATCCCCAAGGCACCCAATTTGTCTCTAAGATGCAATAATTGTTACTTATTCTTGCAAGCCTCCTTTTATGTAACAGTATTACTTTTAATGTGATGTTTTTGGTTAAGGAGCAAATGTTTACTTTGAAAAATGGAAAACTGACTTTTAACATCAGATGTGTTTGAAAATGTCTAAGAAAAAAATGGTATTATTATTTTCCACTCTGGGAAAACATTTTGGACTGTAATCTGGTTTACGACTATGTAAAGGTAAGGCTACTTTTAGAACTTCTCTCTCACTGTAACTGTCCATACACCCTATATTCTAGGGCCAGACATATTATATGCTTTCTAATATCATTTACTCATTAAATATTTAATTCTGAATATATGATACTACCTCTATTTTCTCAGGGTGCCCAAATTATATGTATTAAGCAACCCTTTCTAAGTAGGTCCATAAATCAACATTTCATCACTTCCATATTGTAAACCATAAATAAGGCTTTTAAAAAATTTAAATGTGTTATGAAAATGGCACTACTCTTGGGGCTCAACATGGCAGCATAGAAAGACCCTGAACTCAACTATTTTCCCATGGACACATCAAATTTGCAGCTATATATAGAACAATTCTCTATGAAAAAAAACCCTGAAAGCAATCTAAACTGCTCCTCCACATCAAATGATAAAAAGGCGGTATTCAGACGGGCAGGAGAGGCAGAAATTTAGTCTTGCCAAAAACCTCAGGCCCAGCACCGTGACCCACAAGTGGGAGGGATCTCACAAATACAGAGCATATCCCTAAAGGTTGAAGGGCTTGAGTCCCATATCACATGCCCCAACCCTTGGGACTTATAGTGGAGAGATAAGCCCTCAAAATATCTAGCTTTGAAAACCAATGGGGCTCACATCCAGGAAGTTCAAAGGGCCATAGGAAACTGAGACACCACTGTGCAAGGGCTCAAGACCTGGGATCAAGTGCAAATGCAGCAAGTTGAACACCCTAGACCATATACAAAAGAGATTCATTAGTTAAAGAATCTGCTGGAGGGACAGGGTCTGTTAGAACTCTCTCCAGAGACAGAGGACCTGATGGTTGCCATTTCTGCACTCTTATTCTACCTTGCTATTGCCACCTTCCCCACTCAGTGCTTCCTCAAAGTCCCACCACACCAAACCTAGCAGGTGGTCCCAGCAGGGTCCCCTGTAACCCTGCCCTGACAAACTCAATGGATGCACTCAGCCCACGCAATGAATGTCCCTTAAACATCTGGGTCTGGTGGCCAGAAAGGCTTGAAATTTCACAGGATTGAAACAATCAGGGAGACAGTCGTTAGCAGGCTATCATCTCCAGGGCACTGAACAGATAGCAGACTGAAACACCCCCATAATCTCGGGTCATTCCTTCAAGACTGGGAGAGACAACTGTTTCACCTAATACATAGAAATAAACAGAGAGAGAGTCAAGAAAAATAAGGTAACAGAGGACTGTGTTCCAATCAAAAGAACAAGATAATAACTACCCCCCAAATCTTAATGAAACAGATATAAACACTTTACCTGATAGAACTCAAAAGAATGATCATAAAGGTGCTCACTGACCTCAGAAGAATGGATGAACACAGAGAGAACTTCAACAACAACAAAAATACAAAAAGAAATCACAGAGCTGAAGAATACAGTAACTAAACTGAAAAATACACTAGATGGGTTCAACTGCAAACTAGATGAAGCAGAAGAAAGGACCAGTGACCTGGAAGAAAGGACAGTGGAGCTTACCCAAACAAAGCAGCAAAAACAAAAAAGAATATTAAAAAGTGAAGGTAGCTTAAGAAACCTATAGGGCAACATCAAGTGGAACAACATTCACATAATAGGGGTACAGGAAAGACAAGAGGAAAAGAAAGGAAAAGAAAACATATTTGAAGAAACAATGGCTGAAAACTTCCCTAACCTGGAGAAGAAAATAGACATTCAGATCCAGGAAGTCCAGAGAGTTCCAATACCTGCAAACTAATGTGATCCACCACAGTAACAAAATGAAGGGTAAAATCATGTGGTCATCTCAGTAGATGCAAAAAAAGCTTTTGACAAAATTCAACATCAATTTATGATAAAAAAAAAACTCTCAACAAAATGAGTACAGATGGAATAAAGGCTGTATATGGCAAGCACACAGCCAACCTCATATCTAATGGTGAAAACCTGAAATTTCCTCTAAGACCAGAAACAAGACAAAGATGCCTATTCTCATCACTTTTATTTAACATAGTATTGGAAATCCTAGTGACAGCAATTAGGCAAGAAAAAGAAAGAGAAGGCATTCAAATTAGAAAGAAAGAAGTAAAAAAAGTCACTATCTACGGACATTATTTTTTATATATAACACCCTAAAGAGTCCACTGAAGATTGTTAGAACTAATAAACAAATTCAGTAAAGTAGCAGGATACAAAATAAATATTCAAAATTTTTTTGCATTTTTATACACTATGAATGAACTATCAGAAAGAGACATTAAGAAAACAATCACATTTACAATTGTCAAAAAGAATAAAATACCTAGGAATGAGTTTAACCAAAGAGATGAAAGACCTATAAACTAAAAACTGTAAGACCCTGATAAAAGAAACTGAAGACACAAATAAATGGAAAGATATTCTGTGCTCATTAGGAAGTATTAATATTGTTAAAATGTCCACATTACCCAAAGCTAGGTATAGATTCAATGTAACCCATATCAAAATCCCAAGGGCATTTTTCACAGAAATAGAACAAACAATCCTGAAATTTGTATGGAACCACAAAAGATCCCACGTAGCCAAAGCAATCTTGAAAAAGAACAACAAAACTGGAGTCATCACACTCCGTAATTTCAAACTATATTACAAAGATACAGTAATAAAAACAGTAGACAATTGGTATCAAAACCGACACATAGAACAATGGAACAGAATACAGAGGCCAGAAATAAACCCATGCATATATGGTCAATTAATTTGCAACAAAGGCATATTCTATATACAGTGAGGAAAGGAAAGTCTCTTCAATCAATGATGTTGGGAAAACTGGACAGCTACATGCAAAAGGATGAAACTGGACTACTATCTGACACTATACACAAAAATTAACTCAAAATGGATTAAAGACTTGACTGTAAGACCTAAAATCATAAAACTCCTAGAAGAAAACATAGGTGGTAAACCTCCTGACATCATTCGATATTTTTTTGGATCTGACTCCAAAGACAATGGCAAGAAAGGCAAAATATATAATGGGACATCAAACTAAATGGCTTCTGTACAGCAAAGGACACTGTCAAAAAAAATGAAAAGGCAACCTACATATTTGCAAATCATGTATCTGATTAGGGGTTAATATCCAAAATAGATAAAGAACTCATACAACTCTATAATAAAAAACATAATCCAATTAAAAAATGGACAGAGGATCCAAATAGATGTTTTTCAAAAGAAGACATACAGAGGGCAATAGGCACATGAAAAGATGTTCAACTTCACAAATCATCAGAGAAATGCAAATGAAAATCACAATGAGATATCACCTGACATCTGTCATAATGGCTATTATCAAAGACAAGAAATAACAAGTGTTGGCAAGGACATGGAGTAAAGGGAACTCTCATGCATTGTTTGTGGGAAAGAAATTGGTGCAGAAACAATGAAAATCAGTATGGAGGTTCTTCAAAGAACTAAAAATAAAATTTCCATATGATCGAGCAATTCCACTTCTGGGTATTTATCCGAAGAAAACAAAACACTAATTCAAAAAGATATAGGAATCCCTATGTTCACTACAGCATTATTCATTATAGCCATGACATGGAAACAACCTAAGAAGATATGGTGTGTACACACACGTGTGCATGCACAATAGAATACTATTCAGCCATTAAAAAGGATGAAATCTTGTCATTTGCAACCACATGGATGGGCCTTGAAGGCATTATGCTAAATGAAATAAGTCATACAGAGAAAGACAAATATCATATGATTGCACTTATACATGGAGTCTAAAAAACAAAACAAATGAACAAACAAAACTCACCAACAAAGAAAACAGATTGGTGGTACCAGAAGGGAAGGGATTTGGGGGATGGGTGAAATGAGTGAAGGGGATCTGGAGGTCTAAGTTTTCACTTATAAAATAAATAAATCATGAGGATTTAATGTACAGCATGGTGACTATAGTCAGTAATACTGTACTGCATATTATATAACTTTATATGGTAATAGGGGAAAACTAGAATTATTGTAGTGATCTACTCACAGTATAAACAAATATTGAATCTTGTTGTACACCTGAGATGTAATCTTATATGTCAATTATATTGCAATTTTAAAAGAAGGAAAATGGTGTTATTTTTGAAATTAACCCAAAGGCATATGTACACCCAGCTCTAGTTATAATACTATCATTTTTTAATTATTTTCAGTCCTCACCTCTATGAACATCATGCTTAGGATTGTGCTGTTCACCCTAACCACAGCACTGATTCTGAATGTGAATATATCAAAATTGTATACAGTGCAAACTTAGTCTTGTTTATTTGCAATAAATAAATTATAGATAATTCCCTAAGATGTGTAAGCCTAGTTTTCTATATATTAAGTTTAAAATATCCATCTTCTGAAATGTAGTCACACACATATGCACTCAGGAATAACATAAAAGTACATTTATTATACTGCCTCCTTCCATATTGTATTTAAGACTCTCAAAATCATTTAACTTCCCTGAATCTGTACATATAATATGAACCACTTCTTCTTTACACAGTTTTTGGAACGAGCAAATAAACTTGCACTTGAGAACAATTTGAAAATTTAAACTAGACTATATTAATTGTGTTACGATTGTACTGTATTCATATAATGGTTTCCACAATGCAAAGTCTTGAGGTATTGTCTGTTCCCACCTCCTCATATAGACTAGACCTTGCCTACCACCCAGACAATCCCAAACGCATGTCAATCCATCACTTCCAGTTTTTGCATCTGGTTAAAATTACCCAACAGTGCAGGCTGGTGCCCCTATGATCCTCTACTCTTGGCTGGGTGCGTGCCAGCAATTCTCTGACACGCCCCTGCAGATGCTTCCTGCTTCCCACTGGAAGTGACACATCACCGCTCTGCTCCGACCCTTTACCAAGCTTCCTCCTTGCTTGAGATGTTTCCCCTCCTTCCTTCCAGTTTCCCTAGTCCTGCACAGATCAAATTCCTCTTCAAATCTCACTTGCTACTTTCAAATGCTTTGTTTTTACAAAAACAAAAAAGAAAGGGGTGTAGAATGAAATGAATAAATGAAAATACTTATTCGTAGAGTTAGTCTTAACAATTTTTAAACTTGCAATCATCTGACTGAATAATCTAAAAATAAAATCTGGGTGTTCACAGTTTTGGGTCTCTGCGGGACTTCTAAGCCTCTCTTGGCTTTGTACTTTCTTAGGGCGGGTCCTGTGCTCCTCTGACCCCCGTTCTAAACTCACTTATACATGACCTTGAATGGAGCTGAAAAGCAGCCGCAACTGATTAATCACAAGTGACTAGTTTAGAAAGGCCCAAGGGCTTGTGGGAGGGGTGGGGAAAAGGAGACAAGGCCGAGGCCACACTGTGGGAGCTCGCTCTTACCGCATGACAAAATTTGCTTCATCTATTTGACGGCCACAGCCACTCTTCTTCAGAATCCCACCATTTCCCACCACCGCACATTTCTTCAAGGGCAGCTGGAATGGGGTTGCCTAGCAACAGAAAACAAGGCGGGTTTTCACTGCAGAGAACAACAACTGCTCACAAAATCATTGTTCATAGCAGACCTGTTGAGGAATTTGATAGAAGCCTGGGCAGAGTGACAAGTGAATGTAGAAAGAAAGATGACAAGAAGTTTGTAAGGAACAAACTAGCCTGTTCCTTTGAAATTAAAAAAAAATGTTATTCTACTACCTTAAGTGCACTTAAATATAACAGTATCTTTTGCAACAAATTGGCCATGCATATAGTTGAGAATGTCTGCTAGGGAAAACAGAAAAACCCAAACTAAACACAGGGTTATTTTTAAAGGTATTAAGCTGGGCACCAACTCAAATGAACTCTATTCCCCTATTTGAATGCAATTTCATTCATTCATACAGTCAGCAATTTATTCAACAATGTTGCTGAGCATTTCCTGTGCTAACTCTTGGGGGTAAATACAGAGATACAGAAGTCACAGACCTCTTGATTCACAATTTGGGATGTGAGGAGAGTGGGAACACACACATTTGTGGAGCCAACTGAAATTGCTGTACAATACGGGAGACCGCAAATGCTGGAGAACCCCGTCAGAGGAGCAGGTAAAACTTTCTCACTCGAGATGAGTGATAAAGGATGAAGAGGATTTTGCCAGGCAGAGAAAGTAACAGAAACAAAGGCATAAAAGCATGCAAAGGGCAAATGTGGGGCGTGCGAACAAATGAACATGCTGGGCGGGTCTGTCTAGAACTTGGGATGCACCAAAGAGCAAGTGACTGTGCTGAACCGGACAGCAGGTGACCTTCTTCCTGCAAACAGTGACCTGAATGGCAAGGAAAATGTTCAGTGCACCTGAGTGTTCCCTGAAGTGTTATTTATAGAGCCAGGGCATGTCAAACCCCTGTCACAGACTTTTGTTAGGCATCTAGTCTTTTTACAACACTTAGCCCAAAGTGGCATTTTCTTCATGTCATAACGGATACAAATTTTGAGAGCAAATATGAGCCCCAACACTCTCTAAATATGAGCCTATTAATAAAACCACTCAGAATCTGCTTCTGAGAGGCCCCTTCTCCTTTTCATGGTCTAGAACCTATGTTGTCTGTGCCTCTTCTTAAACAGCCCTGATGCCTAACTTCCCTTTCATGCAACAACTTTTTGTTGAGAACCTTTTAAGAACCAGGAGCTATTCTGGATGCTGGGAATGTGCTGGTGAAATAATAGACATGTGCCCTGCTTTTGAAGCTTACATACTAGAGGAAAAACAGAACTTAACATATATGATAGGGAAGTACAGAGTGCTATGAGGTTAGGGAAAATCTGAGTCAGTGACCGTGAACCCTGAGATCTGCAGCTGTTAGGAATAAGAAAAGTAGTTGAGATTTCCGGTCTTCAGAAATCTTCACAAAGTTGGGGGAGAAAAAAAAAAGACAGACAAAAATTAGAGTCTTTAATGTCTTATGGCATGAATGAGGGTGAAGAGACTTGTTACAGGAAAGAAGAAACAAACTGTAAATGCTAACTGTGACAGTATTCCTGGCTGATGATATGGCTTCTGGAAGAATGCTATTAAAATCTGAAGAATTTAATCCCTGATTGTTCTGCTTGACATAAATAGCTCCAGAGCATCTCAGAATGGTTTTTATAATTAAGTGAATGAAGCATTATTTACCAAAGTCATTTCAAAAGCCAGATGCCTCACCTCCTCCTCTTCATATACAGTCCACACAAGACAAGAGATAAGAGCCAGAGACTTCAATCACCAGCACAGGGAGACCTCATGGCTACTCATCTTCATCCCACAGACAAAGCTAGATGTCTTAAATAATAACTTCACTATCTCTAGGAGCAACTGAGGTAACCACCACCAATCACTGACTGGTGTAGAGTTTGAGTTTGCCCTGGGGGAAGGGGAGGGGTAGCAGGTGTGGAAAGAGAAACGTAAACCACTTAGCAGGTAGAGGACTGGATTAAACAATCCTGTGACAACTATTCTTACAGAAATACACAACATTTTAGTAAGAGCACCTCTGATGACAAATTAATCCTAACATTATTTGAGGGAGACTATTTCTGAGGCAGATCGACATGTAAAAAATTAGCATCATGCATTGATGTAGAATCAGAATTGGAGAACAGAAAATGTTCTGGAGAATCACTGTAGGGAAAGACCACGGATGATTAGGGGGCAGACTGTAATGACCCTACAACCAAGTTTTTAAAAAATAACCAATTTACATCTAGACTTCTTGGGATTACCAAGAAGCCAAAAAGTTTGGAATCCCAGACACAACCCACTTGGATTCTGTAAAAATGAGTAAAGGAAAACCTCATTTAAAATGGAGTTAGGAAGCCCTGAGTGGGGAGTGCTTATGTATGAATTACTCGTCGCAGTTCCTTTTACACACCCAGACAGGAAGAAGCTTGCTTTACTATCCTAGGAGGAGAAACAACCCAGCCGCAGAGAAACCACCAGTTCGAGCCAGTGAGAGGTCACCACAGTCCTGAATTCTCTCTCCTCAAATGAGCTTTCATTCAAAACCACACCTTCCAACTTCCTTCTTTTATCAAAGCAAGTCCCTCTCCTTTCTTCTCCAGACTTGCCTATGGTTTGCCACAGTTTGCAAGTTTCGAATTGCAATCCTTCTGCTACTCCCAAATAAACTCGTTTTGCTGGTAAAATCACTAGCTGTTTTGTTTCTAGGGATGACAATTCCATCCATAATGGATGTTGCTAGAAACAACCCAACCCCTCAACAAGAGGGGGCTCTGAGGTGCCCAGCATTATGAGCAATAGATTGAATCAGGTTAAGCAGACCAGTGGCCAATTAAGTATCTTTAATTTTAAGAATTTACCTAAGCAACAGACTAGTATTTTTAAATGCTCTCTTACTTTTGAAGAAGGCAAAAGATTCCATTGTTTTAAATGTAATACAGGATATATCAGAACATTATTATAACTCTCACCATTCTTCACTGCCTCAATACAAGTGTTCTCAGATACACCAAATAACTTTTGCACCTACCCTGCTCCAGATTCTTCTTCTAACTTCCTTTTATCACTCCCTGTTCCTATTTTACCAGGAACCTATGTTGCTTGCCGTGTTGCTTCTATACTTGGGAGGAAGGGGAGAGAAACCATAAATAAGTATTTCTGGAAAATAAAACACACTTTCATAATTTTTTAAAAAGTGAGGCTGTAAGCCAAATTTTGCCAGTTTTGTTATATATACAGGGAGCTTTTTGCTGATACCTTTTTACCTAAAAGAATTGGCACTTTTGTCACCCTTCACAATTCAAAGGAAAACTCTGTTTTGCCCTACCGCCTTCTCCAAACTCTTCTCTGACAGGAAAGGGGAGCAAGTCTTCCCTGCCATGCAGTTGTGTTTTAAAACTAGAAAAATTCCTGAGCCAGTCAGCATTCAGAACACCACCAAATGTCACTATTAAGAAGAGGGATCAATGTCAATGTTAGACATGGGTCTCAAGCCTTAATAGGAAAGCAGAGGTTTTCATTCGCAACCCTTCAGAGCGGCCTCAAAGGCTGTCACTATATGCCAGCTGCTATTACTCATGATGTCAAAACATATGCTTGCCCTTATTGATGAAAATCTCAAGTTTTTGTTCACAAGAACATGAACTCACACATCTAATTGCAGTCTGACCCATTCATTTCTATGTACCCTCACCCACATATCCGCACAGACTCCCACACATAATTATGCTTCCCCCACACACATAATTTAATTTCTCATCCATATGTTAATTATATCCTCAACCTAGGCATCTAAATACACCCCCTGCCTCACATCTAATTACAGCCCCCCTCTTATGAATGTAATTATACCATTCAGCCACCCATCTAATTATGCCCTCCTTGACAATATTTAATTGTACTGCCCTGCTCAAGGACCTAATTACATTCTAACCAGGACATCTATTAAGCCCCCAGCTCTCCAACAATATTCTTCAGATGCTCATGTCTTTATCTCTGTACCCCACTTTATTATTTCAGCTAAGGATTGGCAACTTCCCACAAGTAAGCATGAATTCCTAGTAAGCATGGTGCCCAGCTAAATGGCAAATAATGACAGGACACAGCTGAATCAAAAGCAGCTTAGGTCCTTTCCAGTAAATAAGCAAATATGTATTTCTTTTTCAGTCATTTAACTAGACATTTGGGAGTCTAAATTAAAATTTCAGCTGTTTTCTTACTTTGCACATATAAGAATTTTTATGATGAAACTATTTAGTAATTAGTTATTTCAGAGACAAATGCTTCTTATTGCAGATATTTAATTATTGAACCTTAAGAAAACACTACCCAAAACTTGGCCTAGGGATATATATTTATAAGTACTAATTACAGAATATTTGCACATCCCTATCACTGAAGGAAGTTTAACTGTTCAATTATATGAAAATGAATTTCTAGAAAGCCGCTAAGATTAGTATTCCCCATTCCACAAATAAAATTTTGATTTTAAAAGATAAATTCAGTATTAATATTCTTTCTACACATGATGCATCTCTGGAAACTGAATGATGTGAATATTTATATCCTGGTGACTGTTTCCCTATTAAAATTTTTAAATTAATTCATTATAAAAAATAACATTTAAGCATTTCAAGGAGCACTACATTTTTCACATGTAGTCTGTTATTCTGGATATAACCTCTGAAAGCCAAATATAATGTCAGTTACTGTGACCATTCAGCAGATTCATTAAACATGCCGTAATTAATTCTCAGTTAACTGAAACATATTTCTGATGTAGCTGACTCACGAACGCCAAAGTAGTAAAGGAAGCTGCACCTATACTTTAGGCCAGAGGTCACCCCCATTTCAAAAGTTCTCAGAACTGGGATTTCTTTTTCCTGGTGGAAAGGGCATGCACAATGTTTCAAAGGTAGTGACCAGTGATTCTCAGTAGAGGAGCAGAAAACGGAGCAGCAGCAAGAACTAGGCTTCCTGCCGTGGCTAGACTCCACATTCTCAGCTCCCGAGGTG